ACTCAAGGGCGTGTGCAAACACGAGAGACAAGGGGTCAACTTGGCCAACTTATGTTCGTTAATGCGGGTACAAGTCGTCGGCCGGTATGTCCAACATGAACGCTAGAGCAGTTTGCACATGGAATGCGATAAATGACATGTGTTTGCTGCTCTTCGGTATGGGGTCTTTTATTCGAGATAATGCCGTCCACAATAAAGACGCCGGTTTGTGAGCGATGGAGATGCCGAACTGATTTAATTGTCGGCCGATCGCTTCGGAAATTCTCGGCATGTTAGACATGGAGTAGAATTTCCGTGATATCCTGTCTCCGTTAGAATCCACGCTTTGTGGTTGTCTCTGGCGTCTGAGACAATTTTCCACAAACCTCACCGGGTATCCGTTGAGTCGGAAAAAGTGATACAAGTAAGCCAATTTTTTCTTGAGTAAATCGGAGCTACTGCAGCAACGATGGGCCCTGTGGAAAAGGGTGCGAGCACAGCTTCTTTTATTGGCAGCTGGGTGGTTACTCTGATAGCTCAGGATGATCTCAGCGTCAGAGCTTTTCAGATGAACGCTTGTTGCGAGGCCGCCGTCATTGAGCCTTTGTATCCTCACGTCTAGGAACGGGCGGGTGCCCCCACTTGCTTCTTTACGAGTGAATAGTAGTGCTGGGAAGGCGCCATTCAAGCTCTGGTGAAATCGTTCAACTTCCCAGGTTTTAACGATGGCAAATGAGTCATCTACGTATTTACATACGCTTGTATTTGAAGGTCGCGTGCGAAGTCCTTGGCGATCTTATAGATTCACAATTGAGATTATAAATACAATCAAGTATAATCAGCATAAAAATATAGGTACCTGTTAGATTTCTGAAGATATTCTGCGTCTGTTACGAAGAGCGGGAACAATGCAAAGCCACGGCCTGCGACAAAACGTTGACGCAATCACCCGCCGTGCATCAGGCCAGATCTCAACAAAATAAAAAGGCATGGCAGGCAATAACATTCTATAGTCTTTTCTGTTCTCATGCCCCTCCTCGGCTTTTAATTGCAAAAAAACGAAAATCTGCATGTTCCTCGTCTATATTCTCCCTCAGACACGCGTGCCGAATTTGTTCATGCTTCTGCACCTGGGAAATTCGTGGTAAGCATGCTAGGGGTCTGGACGTCGCTGATCAACAAGAAACAACGTTTGGCAGTAACGCCAGCAGACTGCGTCGCGATAACTCGAGTTCCACGGGCTGGATAGCTGTGCAAATCGGAAGGCCTCACAACCGGTTAACATCAACCGTCGTAGGCGCAAAGTCCACTGCTACCCCATGGTGTGGACCGAGGAGTGACTAGGGTGAAAATCACTGCATTGTGGGGTGGCCTTGCGCTGCATCCGTCTCACCCCCCCCCTTCCCACATGAACTGCCTTCCCATGACAAGGCAAGCCCATGACGGTCAGTGGTTAACAAAATAGAACAGTCAATCTGCATATGCTGCACTGATCGAAAGATCGGCTATATTGTGCATAAAATCCTGATTTTCTGTCCCGGGACGCCAGTACCCAATAACGTCATTGTAAAAGCTAGGCTTTATTGCCACATGGCCTGCATTTAAAATAGGCCATATGTAGGCTTTTCTCCGAGGTGTATGCTCCAACTTCATCGTTGATGTCGTCACATCCGTCCTGGTGCTGTTTGTGTGACCTACAAAGGACTCCCTGGGCAGTGGCCTGAATGACATCCCGTACCTCCCTCTGCTGGATCTCAACAGCGAAATTTTCTCCCGATACTACAATTTATTCTAGTTAGAGCTTTATACAATAACTACAATTCAATCGCAGATCAGACGTATTCAATAAGGAAATATTCAACTTACCGATGTTCGCTTACTTTGAATATGTCTGCGAGGTTGTAGTCCGCTACCAAAAAAGATGTGTCAGACATCCGCCTTCTCCAGTCGTCTCCTTTGGGAAAGGTAAGTCTCACTGAGGTACATAGCGTCGTATTTGTTCCGTCTTTAAGTTACGTGTTAGTTTAATATACTTTTCATAGAAGTCATATCCAGACATATCTGCAAGTTACCGTGGCAGAGTCCTGGGCAACTAGTTGCAATCACGGCAACGGTATAGAAAAGGACCCCACCTAATTGTCAGTAGAACGTGGATCGTGCCACACGTGATTTATAGTAAAGGAAGTTTTATGGGTAGGGCAGCACGTTAGATAGTGAACTGACAAAATGAAATAAAACACAGAAATCGCCTGGCTTTATGCCGAAAGTCTTATCCTACGCCATTGTACGGCAAAGGAAATGAAAGTAGTAATTAAAAAATAGAAAAAAAAGTAAATTTAATAAAATAACGGATTTTGAATTATGTTTTGAGGTTGTGGGAAGTAATCGCTGTTGGCAGTGTAGTTTTTGCAAATGCCTGCAAATGCACGCCAGAATAAATTCCCATATTACACGATCCACAGTTGATTGACAGTTAAGCGGGGTCCTTCTCTATACCGTTGCCGCAATCACTTCTGGCATAGAGGTGAATGTTCGAATTCTAGGTGTCTGTATGAGTAAGAAACAAGAAGATTGGTCGAGCACCGGAATCATTCTTGTTTGAGCTTTCGAACTCGTTCAAAAGTCCACGTTCAGAGATAAAAGCAGCTACAGAACAGGCATCAGTTATAAGGGGTGTTTGCCAATCAACGATCGATGGACATTCTGGGTCAGGTTTTCGCTAATATTAGAGAAAGTCCCTTAAACCCCCTATCCATTTGGATTAAACTACTGATGTTGCAAATTGTAGTCAACTCACTGCATTGTTTGGATGATAAAGAACTAAATGAAGATTTTTTGAGAACTTCGTATAAATCGTGCTTCTGAAATGCGGTTTGGGAGCAATGCTTTGGAATAATATTGGTGTTAGTCAATTTATATGTTTCCAAAACTTGGCGAAAGGGCACTAAATGTGCTCAACCCATATGTGACGATATACTTATGCTAGTCTAAAATTAGCATTGGATATAAAATAAGTTTTCAAGTTCGGCTTAATCTGTTTATTAAAGATCTCGCAGGTAAGTTACTATCCTTTCAATGAAAAAGTCGCTCAGAAGCGTAACCCGAGTCTAGGACATGTATTAGCATTGTAAATTGCAAGAATATATTCGAACTTCCATTTTCGCTAAAATTTACTGATATTTTACGTGATATAATTACGTAAACAAAATTTCTGCACAAGAAAAGGACATTTCATTGAAGGATGTGGGTGAGCGAACAAAATGCACAACGTTAAATACGTCCAGAAATTCTCGCATTAGTTTGCGTTATCCGATTTCGTGAGATAGGTCACGTGCTGTATTTTCAGGTACATACCGGATTCTCGCCCCCAACGGTCCGACTTTTAGTGATCGCCGCATCCTAACTCGCATCAGCATTTCTCGTTTCATACAAAGGGGCAGATCCGTGCAGGCTGTGGAAGCCGACAGTTGTATTAGTGTAAGTTGCTAAACATATTACTATATGGATTATAGTAGTTTGTGTTGTTAACTAAAATTGTTCACGTGAATATTCACAAAGTCGAGGTCACCAAATGCAGGCTTTCGATTGTTTATTCTCAGGCCTCTAATAATAGGAGAATACACGGGGAACGCGCTTGCTATCAGTAAAATGAATGTATCGACCAGATCACCTCTTCGTCCCGCAGAGGTTTGGCAGACCTTTTCCTCCGTCGTATGAGGTACTTTGAAAAGGTGACTTTGCGACAGCGGATTGGCTGGTGGAGAAAGAAGAAGATGATGGAGAATAAGCAGGAGGTGGGGGTGGAAGTAGAGGAGGAGAAAAAGAAGATTGGCATGAAAAAGTAAGATCCAAAAGCTTTTTATTGAGGAATAGGGGAAATTTAAGTAAAAAAAACTTCTTCAATGTTTGAGTGAGGTTATTAAAATAATTTCAGCCGTGTCTTGTAATCTATAGTTTTTGTATCAATTACCTGTATGACCGAGTTTCGGCCGTAACTTAGATCGCATGCAATAATACTTTTATCCCCTATTTTGAGTACTGTGGAAAATAATTGTAGGTCGGCATCATACTGTAAAAATTTTCATGATAGGCAGCTGTCTCTGATGATGGGTTAGAGTAAAAATCCGAGACGTCATTCGAACTGACTTCTTATTCCAGCGATCGTGTCTTCTTCTTCTGAACTGCCTTCTGGAACTCGTAGACTCCCTTCCATACATGACCGACTTTCCAATGCCTCCGCGCACCGAATGTCTAGATGTCAAATCGCAATACATACCAAACAATTAAATGTAGTCCGTTAATTCCTGACAGATATACATTAAAAGCAGCAGTTATTTTTAGACCACAATCTAAATCAATATGATCTCCTGATGTCATAAGTGTCGCCATCATCTGGCGAGTAGTTGTTAATATATTATAGACATATTACTTTCTTTGTTTGAGTAACGCTTACTGTTTAAATATTTAAATGAAACCCACGACAACTCACTCGCCGTTAACCTGAAATTTTATTCTGCTGGCGGACTACTGCAAACGTTTAGTGTACTTATTAAGACCATACTTTCGATCCTGCAAACGTACAGGCGTACACAATAACCTTATCAGAATTGGCTTTTACCTAATACAAATGGATTTTATACCTCCTTCTCACCCGTACTTCTGCGTTTACAACCTGCTCACACAGTTCGTCCGTTATGTCTCAGGGTTGGTGCGAAAAAACTGACTTCCGCCTTTGTAGAAAAAAGAATTGGACTGCAAGTGAACAAACGAGTGTTTAGCAATGCGCCGATGGCGTCAGTATCGTTCGTATGCAGAACGCAGACCTCAAAACCACTAGAATATATCTCAGCCTTCCCCCTCCACACCGTAAGGTCGCGAAATTCTCTGCCTACGACTCAAGCTATCGGGATGCTTTCTCGGTATTCCTTATAACATGTCGTGCCTCCTTCTAATGTCATGCTTCCTAAGGCAAGACATGAAACACCCTCCGCAGTTTTCATGGAACCCTGGTAGACATCTTTTGATAAGCTTTCAAATGGAAAAGGTTTTCTAGGTGGGGCCGCAAGGCTCGTCAACAGGAGGCATAGTCTGAAGCCAGTTCTTGCTCAGCGGCACAGTGGGTTTTGCGTGAAAATTTTTTCGGTCATCTCTGTCAACAGCATTTTAAAAAACAGCACTGACTTAGCAGTTGCATTAGCTGACAATTTTTCTAAATTTCTGGCTAATTTCAAGCAAGCTTTATGGAAAGAAAGAAGGAATGAAAGTGTGTCAGACATGAATATACGCGACCCTCACTCTTTCAGGTTAGTGCAAAACCACCACCAATACGGAACTGGTGATAAAAGCGGTTTTGGGGGTGGGACCCTTGGAAGGACGGATGATGTAACGCCCCTGGACATGAATAGAATTGTTTGAATGTGTGACACTTTTCCGCGCGAGGACCTAGGGTGGAGATGGCGTAACCGCGTGTCGGTGAAGATGGCCGGTGTCCTTTCTCTCTCTTCTGCCGATCCCTTCCCCCGCACCGTACCGTAACGCTCGCATCGCTCTCCGTCTCACTACATCGGCACCTCCCTCGACCCTTCCCTGCAGTTGCCCACAGAGCTGCATTCCCCACCGGTTAATGAGCTGGCATGTCGGTATCGCCTCCCCACCCAGACAGGCCATTTTATGGCTGTAACTCATTCCACCTGTACGAGTAACTATTATTATTATACGTTTCTCCCATGACCGTCTTGTTATACTATACTGTATCCCGTTCCCGACGTACCATCTTCGGCTGAGTGTGAATGAGTATTCAGAGATGCTAACAGCTCTGTTCAGACCTATCTCTTTCCAGGATCTACTCTCAGCGTTTCCTTACCTTGGTGTGTGCTACCCTTGATGTCCTCGCCCGCTACAATGATGCGGCTGAAAGTATGTAGCCAGCCAAAAATCCTATTTACGTCATACGTCTGTTTGGGCGGCTAAAACGATTCCAAATTCAACTTTGCGCAGAGTAAGAAGTAGCCCATAGGAAGGGCTGAAACTGAGTGGCCAATGAGCTTTCAGCAAGGTTGTCAAGGCCCCACCTGTTCAACCCCCTACCACCTTTTCCGGTCTTACGTTAAGGTTCCAAGGAGAGGAAAGAGTGCATATACTCATTTGCTACCTTGGAAAGTTTACAGCATTCATAATAGTTGAGACTATCGAGTGACTACTTGTGTAGTCTGCCGTCGTCGGGCTTATTGATGGTGTAGGTAAATTCATTTTGACCCAACTGGGAAAAACTCGACGCCTCGGTGGGATTCGGACCCAAGACAGCAGGGGGAAGGCTTCAGTGCAGCGAACGCCCTAGCCACCCCCGCCACGAGGTCCCATCGGGGTCGTGGGTTTGATCACATTTGGTTGATAAAGTTCCAACACAGTCATTATCGATCGCAATATTCTATAAACGTCGGGAGGCAACGCTATAGGGACAAATAGGACTATGCGTATTTGTTTCATAAAAAGCCTATTTCATGAAGTGTTGGCCAAAATTGTGAATTGTGCTTTCGATTAGAAAGGACTATTTAAGTGAGGTTGTAAGACCGATTATCCAGCAACATAATCCCACGATCTTTCTGTCAAGCAGGGATGCCGGCATTGAATGCACTTCTTTTCGACTATTTGCAAAGACCACACTGAGTGAAAATGACTATTAATTTAGTATGAATTTCCCCCATTGATTTTCAACGTCCACATAAACTAAAATATAGTTCATAGAAAACATGCGCAAAATATACTTTCTTGTGCCTATTTGGTAACACAATACGTCCTCGGCAGAGTCTATATTCGAAGAAATTGCATTTTTCGGCCTTAGATAGCTTTTTCAATTCGCGAATAACTCTAGACCTAACCTGTAGTTGCACTTGCGCCTAGGATTTAGTGACTACATGTTGTGTGCTTTCCGCGTAAGGAAAACCGTCCATTTATCCATGCTCTTAAAAAGACGTCATAGAGAGCTTTTAAAATTCTGCAATGAATTTGGACCATATTGTTCATAAACGGACAGATACGATGCTACATGCAGGGACTTTTGACGGTCTTCAAAGATACCTTAGGTACAGAAATTTAACAAACAACAGCAACTAATGCTACCTATACTGCTGCCACTTCTATCCCTAATACGTGCTGTAGGTTATATAGAAACCATAAGGAGTCGAAACGCGGGTAATACTTCAAACTACGCGCACATATATAATTACTTTTAAAATACCGTCCTGTTAAACTTGCTTGCCCACCGTTTATATTTCCGCAACCAGTTAACTTAGAGAGCGACGGGGAAGCTCTGTATCCCGTCCCTCTGCCCTTTCCCCACTCCTCCTTCTCCCCTATCCTCAAAAGTTCTACGGCGAGAGCAGCAACTATCACATAGGCGGCCCAGGCCCACTCGGGTCGTTCTCCCACCAAGCAAAGTCGTGGCCCATAGTGGAGTCCGGCAAACGTCTGGGATGTCTGAGCAGCCCAATTTAGGGAGGGCATTGCTCACCCCAACCCCCGCTAGATCGCAGTTGGTAGCCAGGTCCCGTATCACCGGTGGCTGGGGGGTTTGTTTGCTGGGGCTGTTTTGTGGGGTTCCATAACCACATCTGACCCATTTGGCTTCCGTTTTACGTTTGAGGTAAGGATAAGGGTACCGGTTAATGGTTTCCGAGTTTCGGGTTAGAGTTATGACTTTAGGCTTAGGTTTTCGGGTTACAGTTAGAGTTTGAGCGTACGATTAGGTTTCAGTATTACGCTTAGTTTTTTCAGTTATGGCTACGGTTACGTTTACGATTTCGAATGGGTTTAGGCTTAGGGTTGCCGTTAGGGTTAACGGTTAACGTTTACTGTTGAGGTTAGGGTTAAGGTCGCCGCCTGTTTCCTCATTCCTGGCTACCAACCGCGATCACCACCCCCTCGAGGGCGAAGGAGCTAGAAAAGGTGTCCTGAGAAGAGGCTGAGATCACGTCCTCTGCGCGCTGACGGTGGCTGACAGACGCAAAACACACGATCGGAACAGCCAAGCAAGAAACCATACTTTACCTCTTCCTCCTCCTCCCCCTCCTCCTAATCGTCCCACCCCACAGTCTGGTAGGGCGAGTTCGCCCACTGACAGCATGGAATTTTTTTCTATTTTAGACAATCCGAGGAGCAACCGACCGGAACGGAGGACGGCGCTAGTGGCACGGGAACTGGTGAGCTACAAGGTGGACATCGTTGCACTCAGCGAGACCCGATTCTCCGAACAAGGTCAACGGGAGGAAGTGGGTGCTGGCTACACCTTCTTCAGGAGCGTTTGTCCCATGGCAGAGCGACTTGGCGCGGGCGTCGCTTTTGCCATCCGGAATGACATCGTGGGACGACTGCCCTGTCTTCGGCAGGGCATCAACGATCGCCCGGTGTTCTTCCGCTTCCGCGTCTCCATGGAGGCAAATTCATCACCATCGTCAGCGCCTACGCTCCCACCATGACGAGCCCTGACGCTGCAAAAAACAAATTCTACGAGGACCTGCAGGCCCTCCTGGCGACTGTGCTGAAGGTGGATAAGATGATTGTCCTTGGTGACTTCAGAATCCGCGTCGGCACAGACCATACTGCCTGGAGAGGAGTGCTGGGTCCCCACGGTCTCCGCGGCTCAAACGACAATGGTCTGCTGCTGCTCCGCACCTGCGCATAACACCGCCTCATCCTGACGAACACGTTCTTCTGTCTGCCAGAGTGCTAGGTCCTGATGGTCTCGACGACTCCAATGACAATGGCCTGCTCCTCCTACAAACGTGTGCAATACATACTTCTGCCTCCCAATGCGAGAGAAGTCCACCTGGATGCACCCTCAGTCGCGACACTGGAACCTGCTGGACCATATCCTCGTTCGGGGGGGCGAGACCAGCGGGACGTGCAGGTGACGAAGGCGATCTCGGGTGTCGACGGATGTACCGACAATCGCCTTGTCATCTCCAAGATGGGGATTCGCCCACAACCTCAAAGGATGCCTCAGGGTGGACGACCCCCAGGTAAGTTAAATATGGCTTTGTTGTCTTTGCCTGCTCACCATCTCCATTTCAGAAATTAGCTAGCTCAGTGGCCAGTCAACCTTCCAGTTGCCGCCGGCGGGAACGCCTCCGTGGAGAACCGATGGTGTCAACTGCGAGACACAGTCTAGTCGACGGCGCTGACCATCCTCTGTCGCGAACGCCGTCAACACCATGACCGGTTCGACGACCATCAGCAACCTGCTCGCCGAGGAGGACTATCTGCGCAAAGCCTACGTCAATCGCCTTACTGTTGTCAACAAAGGAGCACTCTACCGTAGTCGCCGCCTTGTGTAACAGCGGCTCCGCGAGATGCAGAGGGCCTGGACGACTCCCAGGCCGAGAAGATTCAAGGATATGCGGACCGCTACGAATGGAAGGATTTCTTCTCCGCTATCAAGGCTGTCTACGGTTCGCCAAACAAAGCGATTGCTTCTCTCATCAGTGCCGACGGCAGTACTCTACTCACTGAGAAGGCACAAATTCTACAGCGATGGATCGAGCATTTCCGAGACGTCCTCAACCGCCCCTCCACTATCTCCGACGCCGCCATCGCCCGTCTGCCTCAGGTTGAGATCAACGTCGACCTTGATCTTCCGTTCTCTCTCCACGAAAACATCAGGGCTGTGCGGCAGCCTCCAGTGGGAAAGCGCCCGGATCGGACGCGATCCCTGCTGAGATTTACAAGCACGGTAGTCCCCATTTCATGAATCATCTGATATCCCTCTTTCAGGAGATGTAGCGTCAAGGAAACGTTCCGCAGAATTCCAAGGACGCGACAGTCGTGCACCTCTACCAGCGAAAATGAACCCGCGTGCTCTGCGACAATCCTCGAGGCATCTCCCTGCTAAATATCGTCGGGAAGATCTTAACTCGCATCCTCCTCAACCGTCTCAACAACAATTTGGAACAGGTCTCCTTCCGGAAAGCCGGTGCGGCTTCCGCCGTCATCGTAGGACCATCGACGTGATCTTTGTCGTCCGCCAACTACAGGAGAAGTGTCAGGAGATACGGACCCCCCTCTACTCTGCCTTCGTGGATCTGACGAAAGCCTTCGGCACGGTGAATTGTGAAGGACTGTGGAAGATCATGCAGAAATTCGTCTTTCCGAACGATTCATTCAGATGGTGCGTCAACTGTGCGACGGCATGATGGCGCGAGTCACGGAAAACGGAACCGTCTCAGAGGCATTCGCAGTGACCAACGGAGTGAAGCGAGGCTACGTCCTCGCGCCTACCCTCTTCAGTCTCATGTTCGCTGCCATGCTGATGGACACCTGCCGTGACGAACGCCCTAGGACCCGCGTCGCCTACAGGACGGACGGCCAACTCCTCAACCACAGGCGGATGCACTTTCAGTCACGTATATCCGCGACTTCCGTCCACGACGACTGCGCTGTCAAAGCCACCCCAGAAGGGGACATGCAAAGGAGCATGGGCATCTTCGCCGCTGCCTGAGACAACTTCGGCCTAATCACCAACACGGAGAAAACGGCGGTTATGCATCAGTCGTTGCCCGACGCTGCCTACGTTGCTCCCCGAATCAACGTGAACCGCGCCCAACTGCAAGCCGTGGACAACTTCACTTACTTGGGCAGCACCCTCTTTCTCAAAATCAAAATCGGCGATGAAGTGACCCGCCTCGACACACCTAGCACATCCTGCACCCATGCACCGCCGCCCACTGCGCCCACCACCGGCAGTTCCACCACGGCCACCATCACCTAAACCGACACTAACGCCGCCAACTATTCCTGACCACACTATCCACGTACCTCACACATCGGCCTAGTCGGTCACTAGCGAATACATTGCACAGAGACTGGCGAATCAGCGCCTAGAGCATGAAAATGCGCTCGACGCACCCACCTCAACTGTTCTCACAGCGCCCACCCATTCCTGCACCTTATGGGCCTATTAGGCCACCTTGAGCATTTACGAAAACCTACGGTAGACAACCGCCGACTACATCATCACACCATCAAATCTCCCCCCCCCCTTCCACCAGCGCACACACCACAGATCAATATTCTCCATCGTAAGCACTCAACTGCCGCGTCTCACGCAAGTGGGAAGCATGCATCTCGGTCCGGACTCCATGCGCCTCCTCTGTTGCATGTGTGATTCGAGTCTGAGATTATCACGTTGCGTCAAGCGCCGTAGCTCGGAAGACTGCTGACTGACGTCCCAACTCAGTCCACGCAGTCTGCCCAGTTGTGTGTGTGTGTGTGTGTGTGTGTGTGTTTGTGCGGAGTGGTGGGCTGATGGGTGAAGAGCCAGGCTGTCTTGGCACCTTCCTAAGTGTTCTGTGACACTCTTATGTATGCGACAAGTACGTATGTGTGCTCTATGCGTAGTGCCTCTCAGTTGAAGACTGCTTGCCCTGAAGAGTGAAGAACCAGGCGCATGCAGGATCACGTGTCGCCCTTCTAGGCCTAAGGGCCTGAAAGCGTGTGCTATGTCAATACCAGTAAACCATCGCGCCCGCTACCTGGCATGCGCTGAGTGTTCCGTGACACCTGGTTCCCTGCCAGTAGATGTGCCTGCGCTCCTGCTGGGTACACAGGTAATGGGTATGGCTGCCCAGTCACCCTTGTCTCTGCAGCTGTCTTTGTTGGTGGTGGTG